CCTCCTTTGTAACTGTTTGGCCTGATGAGAAGTTACTGAAAGCGTTCGCTCGGCAAAATTGTGTTCTTAATTTTGGAATCAACTTTTGCCCATAAAGCGTATCTCTTTCTCTGTATAAAAGGCATAACTATACATGCTGCAACGCATAGAACGCATGCACTGCGACTTTGGCTATGTGCTTTGAGACTTACCTGCTCACGTTCAACGGTGATTTTTGCCATTTCTGCGCGTTCCATTTCAAACTCCTGTAGTAGTTGTTCGATGTGCGCCTCCTTTTCCCGCACTAGATTCTAGTTTAGTGTAATACGGCATTTAAGAATCATATGAGGAAAAATGATCTTGAGAATAAAGAAAGCCAGCTACATGTGTTGTAGATAAGTGACTTCTTTTCTCAAAAGGAAACGAAGGCCTGCATCGCAGACGAAAAATTGTTTGTTTTGCACGTGCTTACGGTTTGATCGGCAGAGTCGCAGAGCATACCGAGAAAATGCTTGAAGTTGGATGCATAGCGTCGTCAAGTCAGTTATCCTCGTTTTTTATGCGTACAAATAATAGTTGCCAAAAATACCTACTTATTTTTGCTTTGTTGGAACTGTTCATCCCTTACTTGCAACCACAGAAAGTATGCGATAAATATTCGATACGAATTGCAAATTAATGCCCATGGCTTAGCTTGAAGGCATGTCGAAGGGACAATTAAGGCAGGTGTTTAACACGGATTATGGATTTAGAAGTCGGATTTAAACTGCGGAAAGTGGTTTTGCTCCATGTGCCGGTGTACAGGAATATCAAAACTGATATTTAAGGACCGACGACGAGACCTCAACCGGCAGTTTCGACGAGGTCCACCGTGTGCTCGACAACAGAGACGGTGATTTGCGCATGAATTAGTTTTAAGTAATAGTAGGTTTGCTTGATTCTACTGTACTTTTTCGTCTATCAGCCACTTGTGCCCAATGTCAGGATAAAGTCAACATGACTCGGTGCGTGATCGGAAGCAGGTGGTTGGTGCGACGTGAGCCTACACCTACACGTGCCATCAAGCACCCACGTTCGGCATTTGTTATGGGATCACGATCTCAATAACGCCTTGCAGACACAAAGTGAGATACGAGAACTGGCGTAATTTGAGGGCTTTAAGGAGTCGAATGATATGCTTACTACTGTTTTTACCCAGTATAATCCCTCATTTGCCGGAACGTTTTGAAAGGTATTCAGAAGCCAGGGCGTCCTTGAGGTTTATCGACTAGGGACTTCCTTATTGATTATCATACAATGGCTGTCATTGCCCGATTGACCTGCCGTCGGCTTGAGGCAACAAAAGCATTCGTGCTGTTTTAATGGAGCAGAAAATTGACAGAGTTGTTTGAGGTCAAGTTGGTGCGGATCCTGGATAGGGGCGGTGTGTTAATGTATCAGTGAAAATAATTCACGTCCCTTCCCTTCCTGTCACTGACATCGTCCTCAGCTCTAGCTCTCAGTTCGCCGCACGTGTCCGCTACTATTAACATCTTCATGATCTTTACCCGCAGTTGATATTACGTGACCACTTCCCACTACAAATGGATGGTTTGTTCAGTACTCTACTACTTCTTTGTACTGTGATATAGGCCTTTTGCCACAACAGATGCCACACGCTACAAACCCGTCTTCTTGCTATATTCATATGTATGTGGTGTTTAAAAAATATTCCCAGCGTTACGTAACCGGAGAGCTATCCAGGCGATCTATTTAACCATGTGCGCTACCCTCAAGGTCACCGGCCGTTACACTATCAAGATAAAATGGGCGTGCGAGAGCAAGAGGGCTAATGTCATCAAGGAAATCGGAAAAAAACGTTAGTACACTCGCGGGTAGAAACAAAATGGTCAGTGACCGCACGCTATTGCTCCAGACTAGGAAATTAATGCCGAAAAAAATGACTGCTCTTTCGGACCCTTACTGATATTTAAGTGCCCGTGGCAAAAACAGAGGGTAAGGTAGGCCACTTGCTGATAGGGAAGACGAGACCGCAGCATGCACCAAAATGTTCACTATCTATCACATGGCAATGCGTCCAGCTCGATGGGCGCTTAGGTCCGGACAATTTATAGTGTACATGAGGATGTGAAAGATATTCAGGATGACCATGGAAATCTGTACAAAAGCGTTTATAAAAACACTGCTGTCATAACGTTCACCCCATCGTCAGACAAGTGACAGCAAGATCACGCTCCGTTCAACCAGCTGTGGGGTTGAATCTCGGAAAAATATGCAAGCATGTGCTTCATTAAGCTATAATTAAACAGACAGTTAGATAAAGGCCAATTTTCCGTTCGCATTATCAGAGCTTAACAATAAGCAGTAACAATAGTTGGGTACGTCCGTCAAAGAAAAGCTAGCTATAAAATCAGCGGGGTGTTTGCTAGAAATAACGCAGTATGATTGTTAAGAGCCGCAAATAAAGGATAAATAAAAAGCATGTACTTGAAACCCGTTTTTTGGGTGGGAGGGGGGGGGAAGGGGACATAAAAACTGTAAAAAATGGACAGGGCTATCTGCAAAGCCTACCTCCAAAGCCTGAACACTAGCTCCTCCATAGGAACGGGTGGCTGAAGGAGCATTAAGTTTCTTCTGTTGCTGGATGAAACAAAGTCAAAAGCATCAGAGTATAAGTAAAATGACATACGCGGAGAAATCACTTATCAGAATTAAAGACAAAAAGTGCAGCCCGGAAGTTGC